CCAACCTGCCTTCTAAATGTAAGATTTGATATCCTAAAGCGTTAAAAAGTACCTCTTTCGGAAGCGTCATCGTTTGCGTCCACCCGTTGGTCACAACTTTGCATTAGTTGCTGAGCCGACGCTGCGCGGCCTATGGAGACTGCAACGCCTGTAGTCGAGGTTTCTGTCGCTAGATTTACGAGCGCACATGCTCAAAACTACGTCACATAATCTGTCGCTAAGTCACTAATCGATTTAAGTGTTTAAACATAATTATCTCGAAGTGTCATCATTTTCATCTACCTGTGGACCACGACTAAAAATTAGTCACTTGGCTAACGCTCCGAGGACTATGGAGACTGCAACACGTGGTGTCGAGGTTTTTGCTGAAATTGGCGAGCGCGGGTGTTAAAAATCATGGTACATAAGTTGTATCACTGTCAAAACCACGTTACACAAATTGTTGTCGATTCTGACGAACGTTGAACGTTTTCAGACGTAAACGGCTTGACCATATTAATACACATTGTTGACCGCTCGATCTACAATCGAATTTTCATCGTCAAATTTCGATCAAGCATATTGATCTACAATCTACCTTCGCAACGTCTAATGTCTGTGGAAACAAGATAAAAATACTAACAACGCTTCGGAATTTTATTGGGGTAGAAAAACCGTAAAAGTTAGTAAACTTGGCTTAAAAAACATTAAACCGTTATAAATTCAGGGGGCCGGTGATTTGTTCTATGCGGTCGTTCAATGCCTGATTTCTGTACTTTGTTGGCTTCAAAATGCAAACAAAATTGATCTCACGGTAGCCTCTCGTTTCTGTTCTGATTACGACGTAAAAATAACAATAAAACGAAGAAAACCGTGTCGCTTGTGAGCAAGTGAGCTATATCCGGGGATTTTTTCTGAGGGGGGAGGGCACCGTAAGAGGGGCTTTTGTCAACCCTGTGTTCCCACTTGGCAAGGTTCTGGCTACGCCCTTGCCTACACACAAAAGCAGATCAAGTCGTCTACGTTGACTGATGGGCAATCAAATGTCTGTTGGGCCAGTTCATACCTAAGGCAGGCAGCTTGCCAGAGGCCTTTTTCTGCGGTGGTGTGATGTTAGTAAAGATAATTGGGGATGCTATTGCAGGTGTCCAACATATGTTTTGCACACCAAATACCAGTAACACTGATCTAAAAATACGCAACAGAGTAGCCATACGATCAGTTCGCAGTCAGTCATGCGGGAGACAGCTGGGCCAGGACAGTGGCCGCCGACAGCGGACGGGAGCAGGGCCCTGGCAAGGAATATATGGCGGAACGGCCCTCATTTTATGGCTTGAATTTAAAGGAAAATCTCCTGTTTTACGGCTTTTGTCACACTTTTGGTGGCAGATTTGAGCTTCGAATTAGCCTCCGTCTAAAATCCTGCGACAAGTTTCATCTCCTGAAAAACAGCTAGCGAAATGAAGGCGCATGCAAGATCTGTCGCACTGCGAGCCATTGACTCACTTTCAAAATTCTCACCAGCGTATTCTCAGGCCGTACTTTGGCATCTACCCTGTGGAGGCAGATGCCTCCTCAATGACACAAAATGCCTGCCCGCTCGTGGAATTTCGCCTCCCCAGGAAAGGCAATATTGGAATGGACGAACAGTACTGAGAACCTGAATAGCATTATTTGCCGAATGACATAGATGAGTCGCATAGGCGAGATTGTGCACCAGCGAGTAACAGCTCTAAATGTATATCTCTAAATGTATATCAGGTAGGCCACAATTTGATTAAAGAGCGATAACGAACTCCATCTCTACCCCCGCCCCCTTCCCCCGGTCATCGGGCCTACTTTCCACAAAAAGTTCCTGAAGTACGCCGTGAGCTTAGCCCCCACTTTTGAAACGTTCCTGCGTCTATGGACGCAACTAGTCCTGAGATTTCACTAGAGCATGTTTTTAAATATGTCCCAAAAGTGAGACACTCCCTTTAAAGGGCGGGTTCCACATTTGTATGGTGGTTTGAACTGAAATAGCCACCATGAAGATCATTCGGTGTAGTTCACGGCCCTGCCCTTCTTAAGATTTAAGCCCTTCTAGTTCCTGAGTTGGACACCCGCGAAGATATTGAGACCATTTCGGGGAGACTATTTCAAGTTCACCCAGGCATCCACGATGCCATCACAGTGTCATTCAAATCCCGTCATTCCATTGGCCATGCGGCGATCAAGGCCACGAAAAACATAATCCTCGAGTCGGTCATATCTGGCGTTCATGAGCACGACTATTGACGACCAGACCAATATCTGAAACATTGGCTCTGGTCGTCAATTAGCTCTCAATCAATGTTGTACAAGGCACGATGACGTAATCAAGCAATGACGGATTGAGGAGGATATTTACTAAACAGAGAAATTTTACTATTTGCAGCACCCTTCTTCATTAAGAAACATACAACTTATAAATCAGCTTATATCATGTCTCACGCTTGCTCCAATATCTTACAATGTGGAACATCCCCTTTAACCTGCGTCCTACCGGGGATTTGAGACAACAGCGTCCGGCCGGGGAGGGGAACTCGACCTCTGCCTGAGATCCCCAACCTCCAGACAACCGCGTCCGGCCGGGGAGGGGAATCGACCTCCGCCTGAGATCCCCAACTTCCAGACAACCGCGTCTGGCCGGGGAGGGGAAGTCGACTTCCCCCTGAGATCTCCAGCTTCCAGACAACCGCGTCCGGCCGGGGAGGGGAAGTCGACCTCCCCCTGGGATCTCCAACTTCCAGACAACCGCGCCCGGCCGGGGAGGGGAAGTCGACTTCCCCCTGGGATCTCCAACTTCCAGACGCCGTGCAAAAAGAAAACAAAGATGTCGTTGTGACGGTCCAGTCAAATCATGAAAAATGCACCCCAAATTGTTGACCATTAAAATGTGAGGTCATTAGAGGTCACGAAAGGAAAAATGGTTGCTCTGACATATGCACTTAAAACTTATGTCAGTGCGCGTGCGCGTGCGCGTGCGCGTGCGCGTGCGCGTGCGCGTGTGCGTGTGCGTGTGCGTGTGCGTGTGCGTGTGTGTGTGTGTGTGTGTGTGTGTGTGTGTGTGTGTGTGTGGTGTGTGGTGTGTGTTGTGTGTGTGTGGTTGTGTGTGTGTGTGTGGTGTGTGTGTGTGTGTGTGTGTGTGTGTGTGTGTGTGTGTTTATTGGGACTTCACGACGCACTCAGCTGCTGAGTCTATATGGCGTCGCCTGCCTCTCACCCTGGCAGGAAGGGCGGGCACCGCGGGAATGTCAGCACGTCGAGACGGATATATAGGGAACGGTAGTAAACCTTAATATACATGGCCCATTCCGCCTGTTTTCGTTTCCCCACAAGGGGCAGGTTAGGTTAGGTCACCGTTCAGGATTGGTATACGGTAGCAGTCGTATACCAAAAAGTGTCAAAGACGATACGGTTTTGCTTTCTTTCACAATGTGCTTTTGAATTAGTTTAATTCATTAGGCTAACAAATTATCTCAGACACAAAAATACATTTTACGTTGACTGGAAGCCAGCTTATCACCGTAGATCAAACTCATAAGACATCGAAATGAAAAATTCAAAGTACTGACTGGGTCTTAGTGACCAGCACAATGCTTTCCTGAGGTCAAAAATGGTGTGTTGTACTTCATCGGGTACTCAAGATCGTATATCTCTTACATACATCATGCATAGTCCCTCCAACGCTTGGTATTTGTAGCAAAAATGAGAACGAGCACGTTGGTACATGAAATTAACGTCATAAGCTTCATAAACACAATATAGAGGTAATAACACTCGTCACACTCGTCCATTCAGCCTCTCCGCTACTGAAAAAGGGTCACTGACCTTGAATGACCTCATATGGCCTTGCATGCCCTCACGTGACCTGTTGTGACCTCTCTATGCATTGTAATAATACAACATATTTTCCGTTCAAAGTTCGAATTCGGCGGCCAAGTTGCCTTATATCGCCGTCTGTTTTGAGTTCAGCATGTGTTTTGAGGAACGCACCCACAGAGGTAGACCATAATCAAGGCTACTGTCTTGTACTCTCTGGTCATAAGATGGATGCACACGTGAGTTAGTACCTTGTTCCTCATACACACAACGCCAAAAACTACACAAAAAGCATCATTTACGAAAGATAGCATAAATTGACCTTACCAAGGTCACCAAGCTTGCCTTTTCCGCAAAATCTGAAATGCAAAATCCGTAGTTACCATCATGTTCTGTTACTTAAGTGACCTTCAGAAATGGCAAACAACGCGCACAAAAAGTGATGTGCAGTTTTTTAAAAGTTAACCTCTTTGCCCTAACCTAAGTGGTTGACCTTGGCATATCAGAACTTCAAATTTACAAAGGATGTCCAATTAGTCGCTGCGAGCGTTCGCTTGTGAGCTGTGCCCCAAAAATCGTGACGGTGGGGGAAGTGTACATCGTGGGGTAGGTGGGAAGTTGACTTCCCTTCAGCCGCGCGTGGATGAAAAAGGGCATAGCTGTGAGATGAACTGAATAATCTACAAAATGGCTATTCCAGCTGAAAGCCCCATATCAGTGCGAGACACTCTCTTTAAGGTCTTAGAACATTAAAACAAACTAAGCACGTTTTACAACTCAGCCTGAGCGTAGCGTCACGCAGTACCAATACCCTACCCTGGCAACGCTTTGGTTACCCTCCATCAAAACCCTCCCTCTTCCATACGCAGCGCAACATATGGACGGCCCCTGCCTGCCCCCTATGTCACGGGCCATCCAAAGGCACTTGATTAAACAACCGATCACAAACTCCTTATTTCCACCGACTCTTCGCGCTCGGCGACGACCAAACCCATACAACTTACATGATATGAGAACGCATTCAGACCCAATCTCACATCCCTTCACAGTCACGCTGCAAATCTCGCGCTCTGGCGGTTTATCTCCACGCAGCTCACCGCCAGCCGCCAATGTCCCCACCATGCACGCACAGGTCCCAAGGGCGCGGTGCACGCCGGCGGCGGTGGCCCGACTCTTACCCAGAATGAGCACAGCATGCAGCACCAGCAGACCGCGCTGCGAGTTAGGCGACACGTACGACACCAGGAAGCAGCCGTTGGCCAGCTGGAAGAGCAGGTGCTGCGGCTCGGCCCAGAGCGGGCAGCCCGCTCCGTCCGCTGGTGGCACGCCCGGCGGCAGTTAATGAGGGGGGCACCACTGAAGGGGGCACCACCAAAGAGGGGACACCACCGGAGGAGGCATCACCATTGGTGGTGGGAGGCACCACTGGAGGGGGCACCACTGTAAAACAACATGACAGAAGCAGATATTACAGTATCCTACTACATGCCTATGAACATGACAGATAGCATGTTGGTAAAAAAGAAAAGTTGGGTAAAATACAACAGAACCTTCACTACCATGCTCCAATGACAATTGTTAGCATGAATGAGGCAGAACATACTGTCACCCAGGATGAAGTGAAGCAGCATGTACAATTTCTGGGGGGGGGGGGGGGGGGGTGGATATGGCCCAGATCTGATGTGTAAGCATGAATACAACCTTTTGCCAGGTAACTTTTTTGAACATAACCAGGTGTTACTAAGCCCTGAGGGGAGATGTCTGGCCATCAGCCACACATGCATCACAGCCTACCAGTGTGAAAGTAAGTGAGCTAACAAGGTATGACAAGAGCGATGTCAATTCTCATCTCAATTGCTCCATCTGTGTTGAAAATGAAGGTGTCACTGCCATGTCAGTGCAATATGATGTTTGGAGTTTTTACATTTTCCTACCTTCTGTGCTGTTTCCAGCCACATGGGCTTCTGTTGTATTCTCCCACATGGCCATGCCAGCATCAGTCATAGTGATGAGCATCAGATTGTCTGAAAATACATACTAGATGTCAGACATATCAGGCTGATAATCATGGGTTCGACAATGCATCTAAATGCCACTCTTTCACTACCCAACCCAACAAAACCCAAGATATTGTCCACATCTCAAATATAACTCAAATCATGTAGGAAAGAAAATGCAGCCACTCCATAGCCCACAGGAGAAGTGCTAACATCCAAACAAGCCAATGCAACTGCACTTGCAAAGTTGCTGCTGGTACACTGTGCCAGCTAAGATGTTTAGTAACACTCTCCTTTTTAGTTAACAGATCAAAACAGTTACTTTGTGGATAATTTCATAATTATGAAGGAAGGTTTATCAGGAGAAAATAACAAACTACTCCAAAAAGAGGCAGCAAGGTCAAAATGTCCACATTGCATCACAGTAGTGCTTTTAAGTTATTAAATCTGATCTGTTAACTTGTTACACTATGCAAATCAGTAAAAACTCATTCTGACAGAAGTGTCACTGCCTTAAAGCATTCTTATCATCACTCAAACTATGCTCCATCATTTTACACCATTTAAATTATCAACAAAGAACAGCTGGTCTTAATTTTTTGCCAGTATCTGAGGGTCCCATTTGCATGCAAACATTCAAAATGTTCTGTGCAACAAACTTAAGCATTCAATGCCTCAATAAAGCTAGCTGAATGCTTTTAGGCCATAGGTTGTATGATTTAGAACCTTGGGAGAGTTTTCCTTGCAGGATAATGGATTGGATATAATGAATTTACATCCTTAGAGTGGTCACAACAATTTTCCACACATGCAGCAGACTAAACCAAACTCCAGTTTATGATGCTGAATCATGTGCTGGAGGTCACCACTTGCCACCTAGGATTTTTTTTAAAGGCAGAATTCATCCACTTAAATATTACTGGATGTAAACAAGATGTTCTGGGCTGATGAAGATTTCCTAGGTTGAATATCAAGCCTCATCCTGATGGAAGGGAAGGGCAATGCAAAGCCTTTCTGAGGCTTTCTGAGGACACTTCTCTGGCAAATCGCACAACCAAACAGTACCATCTACAACCATCACACATATTTGTTTACATTTTTTATGCCAAAACATGTCCTAAAACTTCCAGTATCTGAGAAGCAACTGGTGGTGGAGGTGATGCAGCAACAACCATGCATCCTTATGGCAGCCCAGCCCAATGATGACTTACACATGGGACAACATGGTCACATTAGTGGAGCCTTACACTATAATATAGGTTTAACACAAAATTACGTACCATTGCGCTCAACATTGAAAAATACATGCCTGTTTAGGTTTTGTGTCATTGCAGGGTATTTTCTCATATGTAAGGAGATGTAAAATTGAACTTTGACTTGACATAATGGGGCCAATCATTGTTTTACAACCATAAAACTGATTACCAATCACAAATTTCATTTATAAATCCAATGACGTTTGCCACCAAATCCTTTGAATGCACTTTTTAACTTTACCTTTGACTGATCACCCTTACCGAATCAGAGCCATGCATCAATCTCCATAAATCCTTCAACCTCCGACCCATGCTCGCTCCCAAAGCTTCACACTACAACCTGCGCAACGCCAAACGCGCATCCGCGCATTGGAGTAACTGAAAATGTATCTTCGTTGAGATACTGATACAGCTGAATACCGACCTACGGGCACTTTATGACGTCACTGTTGAACCAAATTAAACGCACCAGCGCCATCTCTGCTAATCAGGTTTGCCTCCATCATTTTAATTGGGGAGGGGCTGAGTTCCCCAGCAAAATGGGGACAAATGGTTAAAAAACCGTTGACAACCGCATGTTCTGAGCCTGTAAGACCAATCGACTTCGAACCTTCACCATTCGATGCTGCTGGGTCTCTCCAAAAGGTGATGACCTGTGGGGCCAATCGTCACAAAACCTCCACCAATCGATGCATCATAGCCGCTACCCATCCTGTACAAAAAATACCCTGCCCTGTATCGGACTAAAGGTTGCTAAAAACGTCCAAAGCCACATTTACTGCAGACAACCCCCATATTCCGAGCTTTTGAAATCGATCAGCACGAAACCCTTGCCAATCCATGCGCCATGGACGATAAAATGCATTTCCAGATAATGATCACCTTCGATCAGGTCAAAGGTCACATAAAAAACGCCAAGAACAGCAAAACAACAGTTTGCACAAAACCACATGCCCAGAGCAGATGTGATCGATACCACAAAAGATATCAACTAATACACTACAGTCAAGTTTATCTTTACCAGAAGATGGTCACCTTAGCTCTAGGCAAAGGTCACTAATAGCTTGCCTACAGTCAATATTGGCGGTTTTGCGCCTTTCTGGTGACCTTAAACCTGACCCAGGGTTATCACTCGGAGCGAAAAAGGATATCGACAATGGTGCGCCGATTGGTGGAGGTTTTGAGAAGATCTGTTCTATAGGTTTGGGCATGGAGCTGTCTGCACAAATATTTTCCTACTGTGTCATTTTGTGACATTTGACGTTACCAAATGTCACAATCTTCTGGAAAGGGTTTCTGTTGACTTAGCAACATTGAATGGTGAAGGTTTGGTGTGATCTGTCTCATGGGTTCGAAGCATGAGACAAGTAACAACTACGTTTGGACATGTTTGAATAAAAAATAACACGTCGTTCAACCCCAGGTCGGATTTCCTTTATGCTGATCATGCTGCTACTGAAATAAATGAGCCATTGATTTATTCAACCGTGCTAGGAGCGTTACATATTGATGACATCTCCGGATATAGGCAGAATTTGCCAAAGTTGACTTCGAGATGCATTTCATTAGCGCGGCCGGCAACATGCCATCGCTTTCTCTTTAGCCGCTCACTGTAACTGGAACCGCAGACCGCACACCGAAGAAGCTTTATTGCTGTGAATCACTTGCGGCGCACGCAATGTCCATGGATGCATTTTGTATGTACTACATTAGCGCCATCTGTGGGCATGCTGAGAAACGCTAGTTGACAGTCTTTTACAGATTTGGGACGGGCAATCGGAAGAACACACGTGGCGCGAGCGGGCGGAACCTTAGCAGTACTTGATTAGAAGGGACTGGTGCGGACTGAAAGTGGGTGTGCTGTGGTGTCGTTGGTATGGCGTTTGCGCAGTCTGCCTGTGAATGGAAAGGGGAGGGTAACGCAGCGGAGCATTCTGCCGTCAGGAACTCGCGAGGTCTCTTGTAAAGCGCTGCACGCGGCGCGCCACCCTAGACCAAGAGATGCCTTGAGTGACACGTGTATTATCAACACACAGCCAAAGGCAGTGTTCAGTAAGCACAAAGCTTGCAAATGCCCATCAAAAGACACCACAAGATGCCGTGACTGACGCATTTATTATCAACACAGCCACAGCGGTGCTCACTACGTAAAAAGCTAGAAAATGTCCATCAAAAGGTGCTTCGCAGTTAGAGGCCGGGCGAGCCATGGAAATGGTTTTCATACAAGTGACAACCGACTATGTCGGGGCACACAGAAGCAATGCATGCAAAAACAGCGAGCATCACACACAAAGTTGGATAAGTTCACTTCACTTGCTTATTGGCAAGTAGAGGCCTCGTATTGCAATCATTCATAGCGTTCAAACCGATGCACGAGTTGCTTAGAAGTCTGCAATTCTCCCGAAACGCGTTTCAGGTTCGAACGCGGTTGAATCACTGCAGCTTTACCAAGCAGACTTCAGCAAGCGGAGATAACCACGAGACTCATCACAACCCGTGTCTTTTTAAAGACTACGACAGTATCACCGGTAGGGAATCCAGTTTTGACTCAGTACGTGGCCGTGACTACGCCCGCAAAGGGTCTTTGGGTCACGCAAGCAAGCATCTCGCAAAAAGCTCGTTACTTTATCTTATCTTATAAACATCGCACGATAAACTGACTCTGAGTGGAAAACACAGGGCGAAAGGGTTTCCAAAGTGTGGTGTGTGAGGGGGGGGGGGGTATTTTGAATCGTGTCCGCCACTTAACACCGTTTGGCTGCTCGATTTTTCGCAAAATATAGCTGTAGGGATGGCGGGGGGGGGGGGGGGGAGAGGCCATACCCTGTTCTAAACTGCTACCACTGTCCCTACATCATGCTACACACAGGGGCACACAGGGCCTGGCAGGATGATTTAATCATCACACCTTGTTATCACTGAAAACAACACAAGTTTGAAGTTATTAATTACAAACGCCGCCCCGCGCAGCTCTTGGCGGGGTCGCGAGCGATTAAATATTGCTCTGAGATCCCGAACTCTGGCAAGATCTACGCAAATCAGATGGGTGGAATCCCC